ATACCACTGCTAGGCAGTAAGTTTTTCATTTGTTTACATTTTCATCACCTAACTAAGTAATATATTTTTAATTGTTTTTTATCTTTAATAGAAATCATCAATTTTGCTCAACCCATTTATGTGCAGCGGGAGGATCCGAATTCGCGTCAAAATACGATACGTCAAATTGTACAACGCGCACGTTCCGAGGATGAATGGCCTCAAGTTGTGATATTTTCCGAGGGTACATGCACTAATCGAAAGGCGTTGATTAAATTTAAGCCTGGAGCTTTTTATCCGGGGGTGCCGGTACAGCCGGTGTTGTTGAAGTACCCCAACAAATATGATTCATTCACTTGGACATGGGATGGACCTGGCGTGTAAGTAGCCTAGTGAGGGCTTCAATTATTAACTTCACATTTAATTTTGTTTTTATTTTTGGCATAATTTCGTGAATGTATGTAAGTCCAAATTTCAAACTTTGTGCAAAAATTATGAAAGAAAATAAGTTTCATCATTATTTCAAACCCCAATCAGAATTTTTAGAATAATTTTTGGTAAGCAGTTTTAAACTTGGTAGGCATTAAATTTTAGTATAATAAAGTGCTATTTTGGAGCTGCAAAAAAATCGCGTTCGTTTTTAATATTTTCGAGAAAAGGGGGTTTAAAGTTTTGAATTTACATATACTTCTATGGTAAAATTGAATACATATTTTATTCTAGTGCAATCCATACATCTTTTTACACAACATAGAAGAAGAGGTAGCGATCATTTCTGCATATTTTGCTCAATATTTATGTTTTTCGAGTTGTGCTACTAGTAAAGTAAATGAGCGATATGTACATACATAGATATTAGATAGTACAATCTAGTTTTTATAATTTGTCAAAATGTATTCAATATAAAAAAGCAATATCAATCATAGTGTTAATAACATATTTCTATATTTGTTAATAATTAGCCTGAAGCTACTTTGGCTGACGATGGCGCAATTCTATAGTCGTTGCGAAATCGAATTTTTGCCTGTCTACACGCCATCAGAAGAGGAAAAAGCTGATGCAAATTTATATGCACAAAATGTGCGCGATGTTATGGCGAAGTGAGTACCAGATGCAAGATAACATATTTGTCGTTCTAAAATTTAAATTTGCTTATTTCCTTCTCCTTAGAGCACTCGGTGTGCCAACGTCAGAATATTCATTCGAAGATG